CCCTCCCCAGCTGCTGCCACAGACCACAGGGAGGACCACAGAAAGCACCACAGCCCATATCGCGAAAATACCACATACAGTCCTGTGGCCACCACAAGAATCCTGTGGTGGCCACAAGAATCCTCTGGCGGCCACAGGATCCTCTGTGGTGACCACTTAAGAGAGTGTGTGGTTTTTGTCGTCTGTGTTTTTATCTCTAGGGCCTCAGTCCCCTCTGGTTTGAAAAGGTGACAGGTCTCACGTTTTCGCTCATAGAATCCGCAATTTTGGGAGTACGGAGTTGCGCTTGACGGCAATAAATTCAGAAAAGACCAAAGATTTTTTTTCAGCAAAAAAAAAAAATCGATTTTTTAAAAATTTTAACTGTGATGTAAGGCCTTACTTAATTTAAACTTTCTATACAGTTTTGAAATTCGGCCTTAACTCGTACAAGTGTCACATTATTTCATTGAAAAGAACGCCAGCTGAAATAGTAGTCTATAGCAAACTTAAAAGTGGCCCTTATGTTTGGCTTATTAGTAAAGTGTTTTGGGACATACGCCACTCTGTCAGAGGTTCTGTAGACATTCGCCTCTTTGTCAAACTGGATCTTGGACATACGCCAGTCTGTCAAAATATCCGTGGACATTCGCCTCTTTGTCAAACTGGTTCTTGGACATACGCCACTCTGTCAAAATTTCTGTGGACATTCGCCTCTTTGTCAGATTGTACATGGACATACGCCGTTTGGAGCTATGAGTGTAGCTCAGGACCTATTATAGAAAGAGATGTGCAGTTTGGTTCTACTTGTGCATCATTAAATTAGGTATCACTTTCCCGAAAAACTGAATTTAGCAAAAATTTGGACATACGCCACTTTGTCGAAATTTGCCTGATTGTATTTGGTACACTGCTATCCTGTTACTTTCTTCCAGGTTCGAAGTGCAGCCAAAGCAGAAAAGGTTCTCTTGGGATGAATTCTTTCTTGCGGTCTGCATTATCGAGGCCCAATACGCCTTCCTGAAGCAAAAAGATCTCACCGGGAATTCCGGAGCGACCTCCAATCGAAAAATGCAAGGCTCCTGCATTGTCAAAGACAATGTGATCGTAGGATTGAGTTCCCACGATAAAGCTTCTGGTAAAACCCACTTATTTACACGCAGTATCAAATATCTTACTCTGAAAATTCGACGGGACAGTCGTTCCGTTGCAAAAGTAGGACCAACAGATTTCACTACTCCAATCCAAAAACAGCGTTTGTCCTGACCTAAAGTTGAGAGATGCGCTTAGAATAGTTACTCCAGTCATTTTGTGGATCCATACGTCTGATGCAAAGTAGGACCCATAGGGTGACACTTTCAGCCAGAGTCGTTCGCCCTATGGTCCCACCGTGCACGGAGTGTAGCGCCTACAAGGTTGTCTACCTGTTTGGCGCCAAGGTTGGGTCAAAACGAAAATCGCAAGGCGATCCGGTGTTGCGTGGGTTGATGGTCCTTCCGGGACAAAATTTGTTACTGGATATAGGAGAGGACCAGCCTGGATAAGGAAGGATGTGGGAGGATGGAAGAGAGGTTAATTTTAGGGTGCAAGGCATGGAGAAAGTACACTCGTCAAAACATTTAGCGGTCCACTTTTTTACGCGTGGATTAAATTATCTCCCCTAGCACCTAGAAAGTCGAGACTTGACATAGACATGCACCCGTGTGTGTAGTTTAACACCCTCGAGCGCGAATGTCGTGCGACACCCCTTAGGCCGTACGCATCCCCTAATGATCACGGGGGTGGAAAAGTCGAAAAAAACGTGAAAGGTTAGGGTAGAAGGGGGTGCCGGAAGTGGCTAAAATTTGGTGTACGTGTGTCCTAGGAACCAATTTGAAGGTTTTTGGCCCGTTCCACCCCCTCCGACAAACCACCCCCTACCCCTGGTTACCCC